TAAAGTAATAGTCTAGATTTGTGCTATCCAATACGGTAGTCACTAGCCACATGTGACATAAATTTAAATTAATTAAAATTAAAAATTTAGTTCTCTGGTCACAATAGCCACATTTCAAATACTTAATAGCCACATGTAGCTAATGGCTATTGTATGGGACAGAGGAAATGTAAAACATTTCTGTCATTGCAGAAAGTTTTATTCAACAGCACCGGTCTAGATGGAGAAAAATTGATGGATTCAATATATGTATTTTGGAAGTAGAACTAAAGAATTACTGAGAAAAAAGAGTAAGGAATCCTTTCTAAAAACTTTTCTCTGAGCAACTAGGATTTTGGGTTTTGGCCTGGGTGACTAAGTGGTGTTAATAATACCATTTCCTGAGATAGGAAGAGTGGAGGAGAATCACATTGGGTTATGAACATTAAGGGTACTGTTTCAGCTATGTTAAGAATCCCTTTAGACATCCAAATGGAGATGTCAAATAACATCTTTATCTCCCTAGCACCTAGCACCATAGTAGGTGTTAGATAATTAGTTGTAGCATGTATAAAGAGGTAACATTTAAACAAGGTCCTTGATAAGCAAGAGCAGAAAAATGAAAGTGTAAAGATTATGGTGTATTGGGAACACACACAGTCTGGTTTGTCTGATGCACAGAGTATGTGTAAAGAAATGGAGGAAAATAAAGCTAGAAAGTTAGCTTGTTGATCCATACATTCAACCAATGGCACCATTTAGGCATTGGGGATATATCAGCAAACAAAAAAAGGTCAACAAAATCTCTGCTATTATGGAACTTATATTTGTGTGTTTTTTTGGGGGGGGGCAGTGAGGAGATAGATAATAAACCTCTATTAGTAAATTATATTGTATATTAGACAGTGTAGAGATGAGGGAATATGCCATGCAGATATCCGGAGGAGGAAAATTAGAAGTAGAGGGAACAGCAAATATAAAGGCTCTGAGGTGGAAATTCCCATAGGCCAGAGCTCAAGGGAACAGAGTGATCTAGGGGGAATTAGAGTAAGAGATGATTTCAGAGACATAGAAGGGAGCCAGATTGTGTAAGCTATTATAGGCCAATGTAAGGATTTTTGCTTTTACTCTGAGTTATTTAACTGTGACTCAGCAACTCCACTCGCAAGTATATATCAGAAAGAAAATCTTGCCATATACAGGAATGTTCACAGCAGCACAATTTATAATAACAAAATTGTAGAAACAATCTAAATATCTTTTAGTGGTAGATTGGATGAATAAATAGCTTCTCCATTAACAGGAGAGTAGAAGAATAAATACGATAGAGTATTATACAATGGTCAAATTGAATAACTATAGGAAAACACAACTATGTGGATGAATCTCAATAATACAAGTCTCCAAATGTTACATATGGAATGATACACTTTTTAAAAGCTAAGAACAATTAAAATAAAAATATACATATGAATATATACTTTACATAAATACGGAGGATAGACATAAACACAAATATGTACATACATAAATCAAACTGTATAAAAGAGAAAACAAGGAAGGATGAACAGGGGATTCAAGATGATGGCTACCTTGCGTGAGGAGAAGCAATAGGCTGGGAAGGGCGACTACTGTACGGTTAGATGGAAGGTATTGTCAAAGTCTTGGCTTTTTGTTTGGGTATGGGTTTATAAGTACTTACATTATTAAAAATAATAATAGAAGACTATTGATGGACCAATAAAGATAAGTACTGTGAACCAAGGATATTGATTTTTTCTTTATAACTGAGTTCTAATTAAAGAAAAATATTCTGTATATATAGCTATATAAATAATATTTTAAAATCTCTATAGACATAACCATCAAAAAGGAATACTCATGAATGTTGATTTTTTGTCTAGCTTTAGAAAGATTTCTTTTTCCATGAGTGTTATATGCTGTCTAAATAGATATTGCCCAAAAATGCACATAATTTGCCCAAACTGGGGAATGCTTAGGGTTTTTTTTTTTTTGCTTAATTAGAAATACTGTTTTTGAAAAGTTTTCAAAAGCACATTAGTTTACTTTTCTGTAATATTAAGAAAATAATGATGAAATGTGTGAATGATTCATGACTGAATTTCTTGTAACACTTCAGTGTAATTATTTTAGAGGGCACAAAAGATTTGGCTTACTCTGGCCAGGCTTAACATGTCCTGAAATTTACCTTTTTCACTAACTTCACCTTTTTCTTAAGACTTTTTTCTTCTAAAAATTATGTTTCCCTTTATCTCCACCTCATTCTGGTTAATTAAAATTTTATTTCTTAAGGTTTTGTTGTAATTTTGCTATAATTTTTCAGTCTCAGATTATTCTGGTTTTGACTCTAAGCTGCTCACATTATTTAAAGGTGCTATTTTACATATTTATTTAAATACCTACTTTGTTATACATACTTCTCTAGGTGCATACTCATTAATCATTGTAACGTATAATTATAAACTGAGATACATGCTCTGAAGTGAAGGGCAATGCTTCTGTGAGAGCAAAAAGGACTCGATCTGGATTTAGGGAGTGACCTTTAAGCTGAGATCTAAAAGGTGACTAGTAACAAGTTAAAGGGTGGCATACAGGTCATGGTATAATATACAGTTTAGCAGAAATAACTTATATAAAGGAGTTGCAGCAGGAGGAAATGCAGCATGACTAATGAATAAAAGAAATAGTGTACTGTAGTGGTAGGAATCAAAGGTGACACAAAACTATAGAGATAGTCAGGGGCTTTATTAATACAGGACCTAGGAGCAATAGAAAACTCCTAGGAGATTTCTAATTAGGAATCTCCTGAAGAACAGATTTGTGTTTTGAAAAGAATACTTGTTCAGTTTCTTCCTGGATAGGTTCCACAAGCACAGGGAGGAGCTATTGATCTTACCAAATGCAATAGAAGTGGGTACTCAAATATCAAGTGTGACCATTTAATAGCTTGGTGTCTGACACACAGTAAGTGCTCAGTAATATTAGCTGTGGTTTTCATTGCTCTAGATTGGCCTTTGATGTGGACAGTGGCTGCTGTAGAATTTGAGGTTTCATGAAATAGTTCAATTCAACAATATCTATTTAAGACCTGTGATATACTTGGAGAAATCAGCAGCTAAATATATTAGAATTTCATCCCTTCTTTTCTCTTAGGCCCTAAAGATGTATAGAGCAGACAAGTGGTTGAGAATTCTGTTAATAAATCAGATTAGCCTACAATGAGGTGACATAGTAAGTGCTCCTGCTCTACCCTATTCATTTTATTCAATTAGAGTTTAGTGCCTGTTAGGATGGTTTTTATAGACCCATTTCTTTTAGCGCTCTAAGTAAAATTCCCTTTCCACAGCTCATTTGAGGTACTCTCAACCTTATTCCTCAATTATACTAGTTTATTTTATATAAAGTGGGATTCCCTGTCATTTTTCACCCCAAAGACTAAAGATTGGTACTAGAAGTATTTGTTCTGAAAATCTGTAATCATTTTTAGTACTATAACTTTAATGTTTTACTTTTTTCAAGTGTTTATACATGATGTATCCTCTTAAAATTTATAGTGTGTAGTTATCTCACCAACTTCCTGGCCATTTCCCCCTCACTTTTAATAGGGGATAGTAACCAGAATCACCATCTAGCACACACTTTACTTTGTGCAGATTAATAAAAGGTGCCCCGTCTGGGTGGACTGAATACCAAAAGGTTCCCCTGCTTCTAGCACATCCTGTGTTAAGGTATACTGCTTAAAGGGTGGCATCTGGGCCTTCCACTGGGTACCTTTAAGCCATGCAAAAACTACACAGCTATACTTAGTGGCCCTAAGTAGTAACTCAGTGTAAATTAGAGGTTGCTCATGATCAACCAGATTATAGATAATCCTTTATAAACAAACCTATTTGAAAAAGTAGAATAGTTATTCATTTATATAGGTATTAAGGGCAACCTTCAATTAAAACATTGTTATATTTTTGTTTTAAAGTTTTCACTTTGGTAAAATTGTATGTATGGGGGTAAGTTGTAGTTTTTTAGGAAAAAATTTTATTTTGTCAAATAGAGCTAAGGTTCTTTGTTATTTTTTAATGTGCTCAGCTAGAAACAAACAAATAATAAATTTACACATACATCTAGTTAATTTTTATTATGGAAATTTTTTAATGTATACAAAGTAAATTTTTTAATGTATACAAAGTAAAGTAATGAAGCCTCATGTATCTGTCATTCAGCTTCAACAATTGTCAGTGTATTGCTTTATCTGCTTCCTCCTACTTTTCCCACCCTAAATTATTTTGAAGCAAATCCCAAATATTCTGTTTTTAATCTGTAAACTCTTCAGTCTACTCTGGGATACTTTTTAGAAAATTTTAATAACTTAAGCATAGTTCTGTATAACACCTAAAAAATTAATATTAACTGTCCAATTAGTATTCAAACTTTCTTGTTTCATAAAAGATTTTTTAAAGTTGTTTGTTTGAATCAGAATCAAAATAAGTCTGTACAGTATAATTGGTAATATGACTCTTGAGTTACTCTTAATTTATAGGTTCCCCTTTTTCTTTTTTTCTTGAAGCTTATTTGTTGAAGAAGGATCATTTGTCCACTTCTGGATTTTGTTGATTATATTCTTGTGGTATCATTTAACCTTTCCAAGAGTACTTTTTACTTATGTTTAAATATATGATACCTCATCTCTACAGACTGAAATAAATTTTTGTTTAAATGGAAAAATTAATGCTTTACTTGGTTTTTGAAGAATGAAGGATTTCAAAGATTTTGTAAACATGGCAGGGAGAATTTGGAAGGAAATCCATAAGCCTTAGAAAGTAGTTTAATTTTGTAAAGCTCCATGTTTATGGTTCTCTGATTATTTTGATAAATTACATAATTTGTTGCCACCTTAAAATAATATAAGACACTGAAATATAAAATTGTAGCACGAATAGATATATGAGATGGATTTTGGTTAAAGTAATATATTTTTATTTACTTTTTTTATATTTACAAAAAAGATACCAGGTGATCAGCACTCCAACAGATTTTTTTATGGTAATGGAATATGTGTCTGGTGGTGAATTATTTGACTACATCTGTAAACATGGACGGGTGAGTAATATACTATATCTAGTACAATAAACTCCTAACCTAAAAAAGAGAGAAGTAGTGGGAAATAGCAAACTACAAAGATATTTTCAAAGTTGGGGTTGCTTCTGTAATAATGCTCAACTACACATATAGATTATTAGACATTTTCTTTCTTAAAAAGAACACCTTTTGAAATACTGATCTCAAGAAATATGTTCCATTTAATTGGTAACATGATGCTATGCTTTTCAAAATGCAAAATATGTTCCATAGCTTCATGTGGAAGCTGCAGTTATTTCCTTTCTTAGCACTTTCACATGAGTTCTATTTTAGACTGTTTTACTTGCCGATTCCCCCAAACTTGGGCACATTTAGTAATATTAATTGAAAATTAAATATTACTGCCTAGTAGCAAAAAAAACCTGTTGACTGACGTGTTAACCTTTAATGCAAGTTTTTGGTTTGTCTGATTTGTTAAGAATTCCAACACAATCCTAATTAGCTTATTCGGTTATATTTAGGCTGATTATGAAACTGAAACTCTTGCTATGTAGATGTCCCGAATATTCTTAGTGCAGTTTCTTTTATACTTGATAGGTTGAAGAGATGGAAGCCAGGAGGCTCTTTCAGCAGATCCTGTCTGCCGTGGATTACTGTCATAGGCATATGGTTGTACATCGAGACTTGAAACCAGAAAATGTCTTGTTGGATGCACACATGAATGCCAAGATCGCTGATTTTGGTATGTAACTCCGAGGTTGTTCAGAAACGTACTAACTGCCTTATAAAGTGTGTCGGTAACAGCCCTTAAAAACTAAACTTTCAGTTACAACATTGTAAATCCTGTACCATGAAAAGGGCTTTGTTGCACAGTCTCCACACTAGCTTGTTCTGTTTATTTAAACACACTTTAAAAAAATAATGTAGATACTTCTAGGGAAGTTAGAGGGCTAACATCAAGGTAAAGCCATTCAATCTGCATTTCTTCCTAAGGAAATGAAACATAACTGTTTTTATGTGGAGACCACAAACTCCTTTGAAAATCTAATGAAAATATGGGCACTTTCTTTGATGAATGCACCTAAACAGAGGTACATGAAAATTCGCATGCAGTTTTGGAGCTTTATAGCTCTTCTGAATTGATAGGTACAGTGTCAGTGGATCTCAGAGTCACATCTAACAACTTGATAGGAGTTTTTTGTCAGGGATAAAAGGAAAGATATAATTTTATAGATCACTTTCTCAAGTAAATGTACCTGGAGAAGGGTGCCATAGTAGGGCGTTTGGGAAAAGGATTAGGAAGTGAGAGATGATAGAAAGCGAGAGAGGAGGGTGCCAGAGTTCAGCATTGCTTATTTAAAATTTCTGTCAGTACTTTGTCTTTGGTCTAAAACCAGGAAACAAGTTTCCTTATTCCTCTTCCTTCTCTAAATCAGGGGTCCCCAACCCCCAGGCCACGGACCTCTACTGGGCTGCACAGCAGGAGGTGAGCAGCAGGCGAGCTAGTGAAGCTTCATCTGTTTTTGCAGCCTCTCCCCAGTGATAGCATCTCCGCCTCAGCTCCACCTCAGTATCATCAGGCATTAGATTCTCATAGGAGCACCAGTCTCTGGTGCCAAAAGATTGAGGACTGCTGCTCTAAATCACAAAACTCATTTAGTACTATAGTTAAATAGAGTTTTGGTTCAGTCGATTATTTTTTCTGTGTTGAATTAAAGCTTTCCAAATTAAAAACTTTTGAAACATAACCTTTATCAATTGTAGCCTAATTTCTACTTAGAGATTCTTTAAAAAGTCTTTGGAATAGCATAAAAAATAATAGTCTCTATTTTATTCTTTCAACTGTAGAAATGGGTAAATAATATTTTGATGCGTTTATGCTTGAAAAAATTGATATAATTTAGAATAACTCATATTTGTGAAGTGAATCAACATTTTTATTTAGAAGAGGAATTTAATTCCAATCATGTGTGATGCATTTTAGCTTTTTTGTCATAGTGTAACAGCTCTCTGAAATGGTCTCTTTCTAGTCTAACAGATGCTTTCCACTGCTTTTTTTAACAATTAAAAATATGATTTATGGCATATTAAAGAGTTGACATTTCTCCTCATGTATTTGTATCTACTTTTAAAAAAAATCTACTTATTTTTATTATGGTGACATTGGTTAACAAAATCCATTGTTTCAGGTGTACAATTTAACAGAAAGGCATACACACACACACATCATTGTGTGATTACCGCCCATAGTTAGATTTCTTTCTTTCACTACATAATTGACCCTTTTTACTCCATCTACCTCCCCCTATTCCATTCCCCACTACCTTCTGGTAACCGCTAGTCTATTGTCCAGTCCATGAGTCTCTGTTTGTTTGTGTATCTATTTTAAAAAATATCTAGCACCACGTAAACTTTACACTTATTTTCAGGGTTATCTAATATGATGTCAGATGGTGAATTTCTGCGAACTAGTTGTGGATCTCCAAATTATGCTGCACCTGAAGTAATCTCAGGCAGGTAATTATATATCAGTAAAGAGAAAGCTTTTTGTAATATTTTTCTCATTGATAACATTTCATTATAATATATTCTCTTTGGAAGACAAAGATTTTTAAGACAGTAGAAATAGCTGTCCCTTTAATTTTTTCATTGTTGAATAGATAATAGTTATAGTAAACAAATTTTTAAACATTTAATTTAGATTTTGTTATGAATGTGCTGTTCCTTAAAAAATGACTGAAATAAATCTTGATTTTTATTTTAGAGAAGTGCAGATAAATATTTACTGAATTTAAGCTAGTGTCATTATTTGCATATCAGACATGAGCCTTTAATAAAATTTTACCTATTCTTTTATAAAATACACAAGTTTTTTGCTTTTTTGAAGAATGAGTTTTGAAGAATTAAACTACACAAGTGGAGATTGTGTAATTACTCACATAGATTATTCATTCATACATTTTTAGAATGTTTATACAGATTGCAATGATAAATGCCAGTCTTCTTCAGTGACCCATGTCTGATTTTAAAAATTAAGAGAATTCTGTGAGAGAAAAAATAGAAAAGGTATTATCGTAGGAGCAGATTTAGGAGTTTGGACAATACAACCAACAGTGTAAATGATGAACAGCAATTTTTATTTAAATGTAATATATTCTTTTAATTGGAATTATGGAGATTTACTTTTTTACCTCAGACTCAGGTTTGAGTTTGATAATGTGCTATCAGGGGAATTTTAATACTGTAGATAGGTGAAAGAAAAAAGAATAACCTTCTAAATACAGGTTTTCTGGAGCAAAGCTAATCTTAGTTCCATGAGCTAGCAAGTGATTAGAATGAAAGTAGTAGGTACTCAGGATAATGTGATACAGGATAAATACTGTCAATGAGATTGCCACAGGACTAATTAGGCACTTTACTGTTTCAAATATTCTTTAAAGTAGGTGTGCCAGGGCTGAAATTATGTGCATTTTCTTTCTTGTGATTGTTTTATGGTAAGAAGATTTAGCCTATGTACTATATAGTATTCTTTTTTCTTCAAGTTAATTGTCATCTACTTTGATGTTTCTATCAAAAATCAACCATAAAAAATTTTATATTTTTAAATTAATAAGTTCAGTTAAATGAGTGTGTGCCCTCCAAAAATACCATTTTATCTTGGAAAACTTGAATAGTATTTGATTAGACTGATTAATTATTCTCTATGGGGAATAACCACTGAGACTTGGGGTGTGGCCATGGACTTCATTAAAGACCTTGGAAAGTGTTATATTCCAAGTGCATATTGTGTATATGTAGAAGTAGGGGTCATGTAAATGCGAAAAAGTGACACTTGCATTTCAGGTTTGTGTTGTCATCTTTTTTCTTAGATTGTATGCAGGTCCTGAAGTTGATATCTGGAGCTGTGGTGTTATTTTATATGCTCTTCTTTGTGGCACCCTCCCATTTGATGATGAGCATGTACCTACATTATTTAAGAAGATCCGAGGGGGTGTTTTTTATATCCCAGAGTATCTGAATCGTTCTGTTGCCACTCTCCTGATGCATATGCTGCAGGTCGACCCCCTGAAACGAGCAACTATCAAAGACATAAGGTGAATATGTTTTTTGTTACTGCTATGTACATATTCTAGTATTAGTAATAGTATCACCAATTAAATGTTTTATACAAATTTTACTTTTCTTATTACACAAACCTGATCATGTCACTCATCTTTTAAATATTTCAAATTGTTTCCCAGATTTTTAGCTTAGGTAGCAAAGCATACAAGGTCCTCGATAGAAAGGCTGTACTTAACTTCTGAAGTCTCATTTCCTGCACTCATTTACCACATCCCTTATACCAGCTCTTCAGCCGCACCGAATTTTTCCTTGTTCCTCAAATATATTTTATGTCTTCATATCTCTGTTTATATTATTCCATTTGTCTCTGCTGCCCTATTTGACCTGATAGATTTCCATTCATCCTTTAAAATTCTCCTCACATATCACCTTCCTTGTGAAATCACTTCTAATTTCTCTAGGCAATGTTAGCTGCTTCCATTTCTGTGATTTCCACATTTACTTCATGCTTTTAGTTTTTCATTCTCAGTGTATGTAGCTATTTCTCAGTGTGTCTTTCTTTTCGTTAAATTGTAACTAAATAAGGATAGAGAGAATGTCTTCCTGATCTTTGTATATGCAGTGCTAGAAGGCCTAAGAATATAATAAATGCCCAGAAAGTATTTGAATAAAATTCAAATAGAAAAACAGGGTGAGATTTATGTATTTTACATAAGGTCGATGAAATAAAGAATAAAAGATTTGTTAAGATTTTTCGAATCCAAAAATAGCTACTAGTAGGTTTGCTGTGAAGAATATCTAGTTATGTGAGAAACTTTGGAAAGTATGGTTGCTGGTGCTACTGTGAATATGACCTTTATGTAGCACACACAAGTCAAGATACTTCATTGCTTTCTACTTTTTACTTATCAAGTCATGTTTCTTAGAGGGTTTTTGTTGTTGTTGCTGTTCTTACCTAACATTTCGTCAGATATTTGCTTACAAACACATTCTTTTGACATCTTTCCAGAATCCTCCTCCTTCTCTTCACAAGCCAGAACGACTATTTAGAGACCTGTGACTCTTGTAATATTTAAATGATGGCCGAGGTAGTTGTTTACGTGATTGTTACTGATCTCTTGCAAGAAAAGACTGATTCTTTTTGCATTCCTGTACTGTTTTCTTCTCCCAGTCTTTCTTCAGTGTTCCAGGCTTCGTGCATAAAAATGTAAAATTGTAAATTAGCACCAGATTTAGTTATGGAAATGAACTTAGCAGAAAAAGCACCTTTTGTGTTCATAATTCTTTAGAATATATAGTTTATTTAATTGGCTTTTCCTTGGAAAGAAAATTAGATATGCTGATATGTACATGTATCTGTCAGCACATACATTTAGAAAAGTATTGATTCTGTTATTTAAAATAGGTGCTTGTATACGTACAGGCTTTAGAAGAAAAATGTAAATAAAAGTTTACTAGGCTAAGTTAATTTATACATACGTAGGTGGTATAAAATAGTGGCATTCGTTTCTGTACTTAATATAATAACTTCAATTAGTAGTTTTCACCATTTTTTTTAAATCTAAACTTGGTTTTTTAGTATTTGGGAATTCTTTATTCAATAAAATACAGTTCA